CCATGTAATATCCTCTATTTATACAAGCATAGAAATGTTTACATTGAGTGTAAAGATAACTTACTATGTATATCTTTGTTCTTTTATTAAACTTCAAGATGTTGACGTACACTGTGTACGTGTATGTTTTCTTTGAGATAACTTTTGGGTCACTAGATGTTATGTAGAAATGCTACTTTGGTTCCTCGCAGGGGCTCCTTTTAGTTCTTTCTGAAAAGCATCTTCTTTGTCCGTATTAAAATTCCTAGGTTGGTGAAATGCTGTATACTTTTTGTTCTTTTCTTTTTCTTTTTCTTTTTCTGAGTAGTAAATCCCCTAGGGTTTCCAAATTCCTGGATATTCTAGAGAATGGCGTAAAAAGCTCATATTGCGAACTAATTTAATGTTTTATTTTAGACCATGCTGTGGCTGTGGTTGTCAAAATTTTAGAAGCTGAATACAAGAGGCGATCTCAGTTGAAACCACTTCTTTGGGAGAGCACCATAAAGTTGCCTCTTGAAGATGTCTACACCAGATTGAAAATTGTTTCAAGAAGGAAAAGAGATTTTCAGCTTCAAAATGATGAAGTGAGCATGGAAGGCATCTTTGAAGAAAACGACGATGTTGTTGTGTTGGTAGAGGGAAGCCCTGGAATAGGCAAGACAACTTTTTGTCTTAAAATTGCATATGACTGGGCAAAACAGCAAATTCCAAAGGGGCATTCCTTTCCTGAGTTTGTAGTTTTGCTACTGTTGAAATGCCGGGATATTGATGGAGACGTAATGGATGCGATTGTTGAACAACTTCTGCCTGAACGTATGGATGAAACTGTCAAGAAAGAGTTCATCGATTTCATCGAGGGTTTTCATTACCAAGGAAAAGTTCTGATCATTTTAGATGGTCTGGATGAGTTGCCTAAGAAATCAGAAAGTCATGTCAATCAGTTGCTTCACAAAAAAATTTTACCTTTTAGCTATGTCCTGGTCACATCTCGCCAAGAGAGAGGAATTGCAGTGCGACAGAAGGTGGATTTTGATATTCTTTTACAAATTCAAGGATTCACTGAGGAGGATGCTTTTGAGTACATCAGGAAACACTTTAGGTATGCAGGTCCTGAGCATTTGGCCAGAGGAGAGAGGCTTATTACTGAAATCAAAGAAAACACTTTTCTACATGCTCTTCCAAGCAACCCATTAAATCTGCTGCTGCTTTGCGTTGTTTTTGAGGACTATC